CTAGCTGCACATGACCCGCAACCTTCCGTCACCCACATCCTCACAATTTTTGCAAGTGAATGGCGACGCAATTCATGGTGGGGTGCATCCATCCACAGCCAAAAACACACTGAGGTTTGACAAACAAACACCCGCCGGTAAACAATGACGTCCCCTTTCGTCAGAACATCATACAAATGATGGGAGTTCCCAAAAAAAAAAAAAATAAAAAAAAAATGATGGGAGTAATCATGCCTCACCACTACTGTAACATTTCCATTTCTCTATATATGGGTGTCATCCTTGTGCAGGGGCCATGCTAATTACCCTTCTCTGTATCGTTCCAATTTTAACGGATGTCCTGAAGGACACTGTTACAGTAACATTCCTTGTCCTGAAGGACACTGTTACAGTAACATTCCTTGCCTTTACTCGAGCCTAAAGTTATCTCCCACTTTCTTTTTTCTTTTTTTTCTTTTCTTTTCTTTTGGACCATTTCTCAATTTATGTGTGGCATCCTAGGCTACCAGCCAGCCCGCCCGGGCGGCCCGGCCGTGGAAGGACTAGGGAAGGACCCAGCCAAAAAAAAAAAAAAAAATCCAAAAAATCCGAAAACAAACTATGTTATACAGAAAAAGAAACTGATGAAACGGTTTTCACCTTTTAGCAGTAGCGGATGCAGTACCCAGGGTTCGATCCCTAGACCTCACCCTACCCATGTACAGTATCTGTGTAGACCCCGAGAATTGAACCTGTGACCTGTGTATTCGTAGGCAGTTGGTAGACCTGTCGTAGGTCCATAGACAGCAGGGGTTCGATCTGTAGGTCTATAGCGTAGGAGTCTTACTGAGTTCTGGAAGCTTAGCTGTAGACCTTCTAGAAGGTAGGCAAGTGGTCAAGTGGTCAAGTGGTGAGGCAAGTGATGGACTAAACTGCAGTGCAACAGCAGTGCAACGGCGGTAGGATAGCGGTGAGTCCACAGTCAGTCAACGGAAGGTCCAGTCAGTCCCAGTCCGGTCCAGCAAGTACCACAGGGGGACTGTAAGCACCAAGGGCCGATGGCAAAGGGCAGACCAACGAGTTTCTGAAGTATAAATSAAGAGGCAGCGCCCAGCCATTCATTCATTCCTGCGTGAGCCATGCGGAAGCGCTGCCACAGCGACTTGTGCAAGGAGGTCTGCAGATGAGTTTTGAGTGGGCGCATGTCGCCAGTATGCTGCGTTGCTGTTTACATGCATGAAAAGTGTGTTTGAGAACGAGTCTGATTGCACTGAACAACTTTTGCCTCAGCATCACGTCGAAATTCTTTACCAAATTTAAAATAAAATTTGAAATTAAAAAATAATTTTTATTTTTTTATTTTTTTATTTTTTTATTTCCTTTTGGCCCGGCCGGGCAAGTGGACCCGGGCCACTCTGGTAGCCTAGGTGGCATCCGTTTTTTTTTTTTTTTTTTTGATATAACTTCATATATGGGAAATCTACTTAACAAGGTGATAAGAGCATCCCCGTTAAGTAGGTCCCGGCGTCAAAGACTCCATCTATTGGTGGGGAGCTACACCTGCTGGAAATCGGGTCCAGCGTCCTTTTGTACAAAGATGTGAAAGTATCTGCTGGAAAGCGGCTCCAGCGTCCCTGTACAATGATGTGAATGTATCTGCTGGAAATCGGGTCCAGCGTCCCTATGCAGAGATGTGTTGATACCTCCAACTACCTATGTGTCCGGAACCCTAACCATGATGTGATGTGTATACCAGTGATGTGATGTGTGTCAGCTGGAAGATGGGTTCAGCACCCCTATGCAGTGGTGTGTAGCTATGTCCTACCTTCAGAGGCGGTCTGTATATGTACAGCAATCCATATGATTCAACATCCAACCGGTGTGTCTGCACTCATCGATTAATACATGCCCCCTGAAGGGAAACTTAACACTGATATGAAGCGAAACCCCAGAGCTGATGTACTCTATGTGAAGGAGCAGAGGCATTGAATACTTCCCAACGCAGGGGAAGGATTGACCTCCTGCTCATACAGCATATATGTCCTATACAATGATGTGTATAGATATCAATTTGCGCATATATTCACAAGCAATAACAAGCGTAATCCACAACAATCCTTTCATGATTAAGAGATGAGGGTCAGACAGATAAGTGGCAATCAACCCTAATCATCGCAAGATCATCTATCCTGTCCCCACCCTGTGCCAGAGAAAAAGAGACGATTCATCATGGAAAAACACCGAGTAAGGGTGGCCCAAGGGGGGGACAGTACCAAATCGTAGCTTCAGCCTCAAGCCCCACTTCGCCATCCGCAACAAGCTACGAGATCCCCTCCACTGCCCTGATGACGGCATCTGTCCCATGACGCTGATAAGGATCAAAGCTGCAGAAGCACTACTCTCTGCCCCGCTACGTCCGTGGTTGTCACTTCCTCCATCGTCGTGGCTATTCTTCTTCTTCTTCTTATTGTTGTTGTTCATATCGCAGTCGTTGTTGTCTGTGTCGTCCTTCTCACCCACCACACCCTTTTCCCCCAATCCCTGCTCACCGTCATTTTTATTATTACTGTTGTTGTTGTTGTTGTCAACATCCTCACACATCTCTACCATCTCGTTGTTGTTGTTGTTGCTGTTGTTGTTGTTGTTCGGCGAGCCCGAACGTGGCCCAAAATCGACCAAGCCAGAACTTCTTTTTTTTTTTTGTAATATTATATATATAATACATATATATATAGGGGTTGGGGGGCCCCGGGGGGCATTGCTCACAACTCGTGAGCACACACACACGCGGGGGCATTGCTCACAACTCATGAGCACACACACACACACACACACACACACACACACACACACACACACACACACACACCACACACAAACATACACACACACCACACACACCACACACACACCACACACGCACCACACTCACACGAGGACGCGTTCAGCAGCCCCCTAATTTGTGCTCGGCCGAACATGTTTGGTTCACGCTCGGCCAAGCGTCTGAACATGTTCGGCGTGCTACGCAGATGAGCGGTTTAATAGCGTCGATAATTTGCCCACTGCGAGTCGGTCAGAAGGCCGAGCTGATTCTGCCTGCAATTAGTGGATGTGCCTATTGTCTATCTGACACATTCTCCTCTAAAGATGAGTGATGCGCAGGTCTGAAGGAGCACTAGTGTGAAGAGTAGGACTGAGGGCCAACAATGTGTGCAGTGGATTGCATCCAGGGCCAGATGTACTTGTGGTTTAAGAGAAGAGAAGAGATGACGAAGGGCGAGGTCCCCTGTAGCAATTCCTTCATTTCTGACCATAGATGATTGCAAAGATCAACGACCAAGAATGAGGCACATGCCTCACAAGCAAATAAGACCATGACTGAGGACATTCTCCACTGCCTGCTTTTACATCCCTGAAGGCCGAGCAACTATGGGCCAAGACTAGAAGCCTCTGGCATTCTACAGAAGCCACGCCATCCCCCCCCACACACTGACCAGCTGGCCCTGCTCACCGGCGTTTTGCTACCATGGTCGAGGGAAGCCTGGGAACGGACATTTTATAGAAGTCTCCGCCCCCTCGGACTGGTCGAGGGTCCAAGCGGCAAATCCGGAATGACCCAACCACGACGCAGGAGATCACGGACAACTTCTGACAGCGAGTACTGGGAACAGTCAAGCTGGAAACCGTGACCGCCGGCATCCTTACACTCGAAACCGGTCCATCAGAGCACCGCCGCCAGTGGCCGGCCGGATGACGTGGAGGAGGTCCCCTCACAGCACAGCATGTCAGAGGCCACCGGCACCAGTCTCCACTCTGATTGAGCACTTGAGTTCTAAACCAGCAGCAGGGCGCCCCCAGGGGTCTCGTGGGGTGTATCAAAGTACCATTGGAAGGCCTTTGGGGCCTCACTGACAAACCACCTCGGGGTCTCCGGAGGAGTCCCTGCGCTGCACCCCTGGGAATCAGATGCAGCCCCTACACGTGGAGAGGCCAGACCTCTAAAACAGACGCCTAGGGTTTAGGGTTTATCGGGTAATAGGGTCGAAAAGGGGGCGACTGGTCACGACAGCAGACGTAAGAAGTGATGATGGGTGACGGGGGAGAAAAAGGAGAAGCAATGACCGGGCTTGCGTAGGAGATGGAGCTAACTTTAGGCAGAGGTGAGGGGTGGTATATCCTTCAATGCTGGCCGCTCGGGCACCTCAACTGTAATGGGGGGGACCGTTGCATGAGGCAAAATTTGTATTCCTCGACTTGCCGGTGGAAATGAACCGGACTGCTGATCCCCAGAATAGGAGGAGCCTCGGTTTTTGCAAAAAAAGAAGAAAAAAAAAGAGAGAAAAAAAAGGGACCATGACTGAGGAGTCGGAATGCTTATCGACTTGCTTATGTAGACGATAACTTTCTTTACTTTTCGATTCGGTATCTCATCAAAGTGATCAAATCTGCAATGATGATGCTCATAGATGTACGTATTTTCTTAAACCTCTGTGCCGATATGAACGCCTGAGCAGAAGGGGGGGGGAAGGGGGGAGGAGGGGGGGGAGGGAAAAAAAAGTGATGAAATCATCAAGTACCCTCCTTGTGTGCCTTCCATTTTCAAATTGGTCCTTCGCTCGTGAACTCCACGATAGAATGTGGTCTATTCTTCAAGTTTTCTGATAAAAAAAAAACAAAAACAAAAAAAAATGATGATATGACATTGTATGCTACGACCTTAGATGGAGAGAAATACAATCGCAGACATGAGTGATTCTCAGCTGCTTACTCACATTAGTAGCACAATCTGAAATGCATCTGACCTTAATAACAGCCCCACTTGGATGTATCTGACCGCAATTACGTCCAGAAATGAATTTTAAAAAAAGGTCCCAGTGCGAGTACGCCCTCAAACCTTTCTATCTGTTTTGGCGATATTTTGTTTGTAATTGAGGCAGCAGCCTACCCGGCGAAGCTCGTCCCTGGCCTTGAATTTTTCCCAGCGAGGCTCAAGTGGCGTTCGGGGGACACAGAGGGGAGATGTCATTGCAACCTCCTGGCATGGTTACTATTATTATTATTATTATTATAGGAAAAAGAAGAAGACGAAAAAATCAGTCAATCATTGGCTGCGATTCCATTTGACTGACATAGACGACCACGTGCTCCAAGATGCTTCGTCGCGTCCGCCAGTTCCATGAGAATAGGGTTTGGAAATCACACGGCTGTGCAAGCCCGCATCAGCAGTACTGCTTGGGACTGAAATACAAGCATGGACAGGGGCTTCTACCGCACGACCTGCAGAAAGCCGCTCTTTGGTTCCGCAAAGCGGCAGGAGGAGGCCACCCTGAGGCGCAATTGGAGATAGGTTTGTGTTTCAAGAACGGCGATGGCGTTGACGTCAGTGATGACTGGGCCGCTTTCTGGTTTTCGAAAGCGGTTGAGCAGAAGGTCGCAAAAGCGCATGGCCTGCTGGGAATGTGCTACCTTGAGGGAAAGGGGGTACTCAAGGATGAGAGGGAGGCAGTGCACTTTTTCCGACTAGGGGCGGACTACGGAGACGCCGAAAGTCTTACGATGTTGCGATCTTGCATAAGGTTGGGAATGGGGATGCCGAAGCCTGAAGAGCCATCTGCTTTCGAATGGTGCAAGCGCGCGGCGGAAGAAGGGTTCTCTCAGTACATGTTTGAGCTGGGAGAGCGGTATTTCTATGGTAAAGGTGTCTGCTTGGATTACGAGCAAGCGGCGATGTGGTATGAGGCGGCAGCGAAGAAGGGACATGCTCTGGCAAGGTACCCCTTAGCTGTGTGCTTCCTTACAGGGGCAGGACTTCCGCAGAGCGACAACGACGCAGTCAAGTGGCTCAAGAAGGCCTCCGGGATTCGAACCTTTGATTCAGAACACTTGCAGTCTGAGCCCAGTGAAACGGAGACTATTGCTCAGTCCGATTACATAGACCTGCTGCCGGCAAGGGTGGGCTTGGGACTCTGCTATTTGGAGGGAATAGGAATGGTTCGTAAGGAGAAGCTGGGACGCTCCTTGATAGAGAGGGCTGCCTTTGAGGGATGTGAAGATGCCATAGTTGAATGCCTGAAGTTCTTCTCTGGCAAGGAGTGGGAAGGGTGGGCGTCAGCAGCCAGGCGTACCAGATCTTGGAAAGCCTATTTCCAGCTGGTAAGCAGTGACATAAAAAAGCCTCAAAACTCAACCTACCGTTCCCTTTACTACAATGTGCGTTAGGGGACTCAAACAGCACTAGTACTGGATTCTTCTTCTTCTTCTTCTTCTTCTCTCTCTCTCTCTCTCTCTCTCTCTCTCTCTCTCTCTCTCTCTCTCTCTCTCTCTCTCTCTCTCTCTCTCTCT